TCTGTGAGGTGCTCACTTCAGATAGTAAGGTTTACCACAGACACATCATCATGAAAAGCAAGCAGAAAACTGTCATGTTTGGAATTCCTAACCCAGTGCAAACGGTCACATCTGACTCTGCTCAGCAGAGTAACCTGGCCAAAAATCTAAATGGTTTTCCAGCACTTACTGCACATACGTAAGAGCCTTCTGGCAAGATGGAACACTTTCCAATGCCACCAGCGGAGTATAAATGTGCGCCCCTCCCTCCACACCATCCCAAAATTAGCACTTAGCCTGGCTGTCCTTTCTTGCTGGTTTAATGGCTGCATAATAGGACTCACAGGCTCTGGAATGTGCTGTGCATGTGTCCGTGTGGTGACGAGTTGTATGTCTTTCCCAGTGGATAGGATCAGTACCCATGGGGGCTGAGTCCCCTGTGGTGAGGCAGAGTGCTGGCTGTGCTGCCTGTCCCCTGAGCTCCTTGTTATGACACCTTCCTCGGATATTAGCTTCATTACAATTTGTTGCACAAAAGGTTTTTCTTGCAGTGTATTCTCGGCTAATTTTAGAAATTTGTTTTCACCTTCCGACATTGATTCCTGGGGCAGCTTGCAAGCTGCCTGGAACGAAAGATCAATGGTGACAGCAGAGGAGTGGGCTCCAGTTCTTCATTAACCCAGAGCTCCCAGCAGCCCCAGTCCTGTCTCTTCCCTCAGGGCTAGCCCTGGACAAAAATGGACAGTCAGGAAGTTTTCCTTTGGTGCCCTCAGCCTTTCTGTTCTGAGCCCTTTCCATCTCCCCGCTCTCCTCATTTCATCTTCTTTACCAAACTCACTCTTCACCCAGTGTGGAGATGGATTTCGGGAGAGGAAGTGAAGTCAGATCCACTGAGGGTCTGCACAGGCTAGGCAGTTTATATGCATGCCCCTTAAAGTCTATCAGTAATTCTCACAGCTTGGTATTGCTCCCATTTCACAGAAGAGGAAACTGAGATGCAAAGAGATCAATAAGCAAGCCTAGTGTTGCAGAGCTCGTAAAGTGGAGCTGGGATCAGAACCTCCAGCTCCAAAGCCTGTGTTCGCACCATTGTTTGCTGTTACGCTGATAACCACCACAGTGCAGAAGTCTAGGAGCAGGCATTTGGAGGAGTAGCATCCCCCAGGGTCACAGAAAGGGTATGCTTTGCCCTGCACCCAGCCACTCCTGCTCAGCCAAAGGCTCTACTGAGTTCCACACACAGGAACTGGCCCTAATGAAGTCTCTAGGGACATCAGGCTGTGCTCCTGAGTCTCAGTTCCACCCACAGAGGGTGGCAGAGTGGGCCAAGGAAGTTCTAATTGAGAATTCACAGGTGCCCAGAGCAGAAATGTGCAGAACCTCTGGCCACAGGTCGTTTACAAGACGTGCGGGGCAAAACGTGGATGTTGGAGATCTTCCAAAGGAGTTAAGGAGAGCAAAGCAGAACAGAGAGGCAGTGAATCCAGAGGCAAGAAGGAGGTAAGGCTGGAGGAAGTCTAGATCAGCCCTGTTAGAAATATACAGAAATATAATGCAAGCCACATATATCATGTTGTACAGTTTCTTTTTCTTTTTCTTTTTTTTTTTTTCTGAGACGGAGTCTTGCTCTGTCACCCAGGCTGGAGTGCAGTGGCACGATCTCAGCTCACTGCAAACTCTGCCTTTTAGGTTCAAGCGATTCTCCTGCCTCGGCCTCCCAAATGGCGGGATTACAGGTGCCCGCCACTGCACCCAGCTAATTTTTGTATTTTTTAGTAGAGATGGGGCTTCACCATCTTGGCCAGGCTGGTCTCGAACTCCTGACTTCATGATCCACCCACTTCGGCCCCCAAATTGCTGGGATTACAGGCATGAGCCACCGCACCTAGCCTATGTTGTACATTTTCTGGTAGCCACATTTAAAAAGGTAAAAAGAAACAGGTAAAATTAATATTAATAATATATTTATGTAACTCAATATATATCAAATATTATTTCAACAGGTAATTAATACGAAAACATATTAATGAGATTTTACATTTTTTTTTGTACTAAATCTTTGAAGTCTCATATGTATTGTACATTTACAGCACCTCTCAGTTTGGGCTGGCCAATGTCAGTTACCCAATAGGCACACATAGCTCGTATTGTACAGGGCAGGGCTAGATCCACAGCTTTTAAATTATGTCCCATGGAGCACAGCCTTTCTCAGAAATGTTCCAAGAGGTCCCTAAACATTTGGTTTGAATTTCATTTTTAGGAATTTTTAACTACTTAAAAAGTAATGGCGGGGCACAGTGGCTCAGGTCTGTAATCCCAGCACTTTGGGAGGCCAAGGTTGGTGGATCACTTGTGGTCAGGAGTTCGATACCAGCCTGAGCAACATGGTGAAACCTCATCTCTACTAAAAATACAAAAAATTATCTGAGCATGGTGTCGCATGCCTGTAGTCCCAGCTACTCAGGAGGCTGAACCCAGGAAAATCGCTTGAACCTGAGAAGCAGAAGTTGCAGTGAGCCAAGATCAAGCCACTGCACTCCAGCCTGGGCAACAGAGTGAGACTCTGTCTCAAAAAAAAAAAAAAAAAAAATTCAAAAACTTTAAAAATTAAAAAGTAATGTAAAAATATTTGCACTTAAAGACATCCCACTCCAAATTTTAATGCAGTGAAGACAATCAATAGAAAAATTTGTGTTCGTGTGTGAAAGGAAATATTATGTAATTCATCCTCTTATAGGAGAAGTTTGTACTAATAAAACATCTCTTAATCGTTTTAAATATTAGTACAACCACATGTCACCTAACGATGGGGATACATTCTGAGAAATGTGTCGTCAGGCAATTTTGTCATTGCGTGAACATCATAGGGTGTACTTACACAAACTTAGATGGTATATATATTTTTATTTATATGTATATTTATCATATGGAAAACTAAATGTCCCAGCACCATTACAGAATATCAATCATTTTCCCCTACTTGATCTGCAATGCCAATATCAAGTGCCATATATCAAGTTTCTGTATAAGCTCCATTATCATCTTATGGGACCACTGTCATGTATACGGTCTGATGTTGACCAAAATATCATTGTATGGAGCACGACTATAATTTATGTTACATTTCAATTAAGTAATAACAATAACAACCAACATTAATTTTGTATTCACCTCATGCTGAGTGCTTTTTGAGCATCACCTCAGCAAATTCTCACAAGAAATCTTGGAAGTGGGTAATAGTATTATCTTCATTTGCAGAGGAAATGTAGATGCTGATGCTGGAGAGTTCAACAGTTTGCCCAAGGTGGCAATGAATGACATCAGGATTCAAACCCAACCCCAGCTGCATAACTTCTAAACCAAAGCTCCTAAGGACCACACTACAATTAAAAACAGACAGACCAACCTACCATGCCAGTATGAATTCTGAGCTTTGTCAAACTTCAGGCTACCTCGTGTCGACTCTCCCTTCTTGCCAATCACTCACCCTCTATTCAGGCCCTTGTACACACATGTACACACCACACAGCATTCTGTTTAGTGCAGCAAATATTTACTGACATTACTATGCATCAGTGTTAGCTGTGCTCCTTTTGTAGCCAAGATAAAGCATTTTAAATCCTATTTACCCCCCAGCTACCTAGGGAAAGGTCAGATTTTATCATGTAAATGATATGAAGCCAGTGAAGGGTTTAAGCAAAGGGTTGACAAAAAGGATCATATCTGTATTTTCAAAAGCTCATTCTGGAAGCAGCAGGGAGAGTGGATTGAAAATTACTGGGATTGGAGAAAGAAAGCCAATTAAAAAACTGTTAGAGTGAGGAGAGCAGATAGAAGAGGGGGCTACAAATGAGAAAAGTACTGGGTAACTGAGTAATCATTGAGGGGGTCAAAAAGAAAGCTTCAAGGCTGACTCTAGGTTCCAGTTAAAGTAGTTGAGTTCATGGTGGGACCATGAGCTGAAATAGAAAAGACAAGAGGAGGTCTGGTTTGAGAGGGATGAGTATACATGATGAATTTAGATTTTAATATTGAAGTTGACATTGTAATCAGCTGCCCAACATCCATTCAGGCCTTCTGCCACCTGTCCCAGAAACACGATATGAGGAATCACTCCAGATCCAGGATGGGCCTTGACCCATGTAACCCAATCATGATAACCCATCCCATAATAATCCCCCTTGCTAATGACTGATTGGAGTAGAAGTCTAAGCCAATAAGCACATACTATTCCCTTGTGTCTTTATTGGTGTTGGGGCCATAAGTTGATTCCTTCAGGCCAAAGAAAAGCATCTGTCTTCAATAACTGTGGGAGAGGAGCACTCTCCTGATGAGAACAGAAAACATGTGGTACTGATTAGGACTGACAGCAATCTTCCGATTCAAGAGATAAGGCCATTCTAGAAGAAGAATATAATGGAAAGATAGAAAAACCTGGACCCTTAATGAATTCATTGAATCATTGGATCAAGCCATCCAGAAGGTCAACCTGTCCTATCCTTTTATATGAGCCAATAAATTTCCTCATTGTTTAAGACATTTTGAGTTGGGTTTTCTGCCATGTACAGCCACAAGCATCCTAATTGACACAGATATGTTGAATGTAACTGAGGTGACCCAAGAAGTCAAGTGGGAGAAACAGGTATGATGTCATCAGGCAGAATTTAAACTGAGAAAGCAGATGAGACTGACTAAGAAAGCACATAGGGTGTGGAGGGGAAAGCAGAGCAGGGCCAAGACCAGGACCCTGGAGAGCGCTCGTGTTGGTAGGCATAAATTGCTCTACAGAAGAAACAGAACAGGAAAGAGGAGATGGCCTAGATGTGGGGTAGAGACTCAAAGAATATGGCCATGAAAGCGGGGAGAGACGAGAAAGAAGGGTAGAAATGAGAGAGGGGCGATGGGTCGACTGCTGAATGAAGAACACTATAGAAAGAGACATTGACAGGGAGGGGGCAGGGGGAATATTAATTAAGGTGCAGGACAAGCTGCTGTACCAATAAGACCCATAAATCCAGTGGTTTGAATAACGTAGAAGTTTATTTCTCTCCCACACAACAGGCCAGAGGGAGAGAGTGTCAAGAGCAGTTGCGGGCAGTTCTTTTCCTTGAGGTCTCAAGAGTTCTTCTGTCTGGTTGCTCGGCCATCCCATAGGGTCTTGCCTTTGTCCATACAGCCACAGCTAGCTCATCTCCAGCACTTTCAAGTTCCACCTCATTGAAAGGAGGAAATAGACAATGTTCACTGCAAATAGCTTCCATGTAAGGATGTGCTCTGGAAATTGCCCACATCCTTTTAGCAAGAACTGAGTAGACATCCACATCCAGTTGCAGGGAGTCTGGGAACTGTGGTCCTGAGCTAAATGATCATGTTCTTCCCTAAAATTCAGGGCTCCTTGACTAAAAGGAAGGAGAGAATGGGCATTTTGGGACACTTAACAAGCTCGGCCACTAGGTTCTAGGAAGTTGTGGTAGGTGTTGTGCAGGTGACAGCACCCTCTACTCCTGAGGTTGATCAACTAGGCTTATCCGCATTAAATCTGTGACCCAATCAAATATATAATCTTAGAAGATCCTGAAGAATTTCAGGCTTTCAATTCACAATACTTCAGCTGCCACCTGCTTGCCCACTCAGGCCAGCTAATGCTGCATGACTTGCTGGCTGTGTCCAACCTCCCTGCTCCCTGCTTCCTGGCCAGTCTGCTTAGCCCTGGAAATGCACAGCAGAACCAAGCCTAAAGGAGGAAATCATCACATTCAGATGTTTTGCGTTATGTAGGTCATGATTCCCTTTCTTATTTTTAATCTCTCCCTAACTACTGATTTCCTTCTCAAAATGTTTTCCTTTGGCCTGGCTTCCACTTAAAGCTATCTCTCTTTTTTTTCCTCTCTCCTTCCCTTAACCGTCATAATCACTGACTTGTTCCCAAACCCCCTGCAAGCTGGCATCTGCCCCATCACTCAGATAAAACTGTCACTGAGGTCATTAAATTTAATGGGCTCTTCCCAGCCCTCTTCCTCCTCCACCTGGCTGGGTCTCATTAGACACAATTGACCACCCCTTCCTAGAACCTTTACCTCCCTTTGCTGCTATGATGCACCACTACACACCTGCCCCCCAGCTGCTCCCTCCTTCCCTACCTCCCAGTCCTTGTCTGTGTCTTTCTTTCTGTGACTCCTCAGGAGACAAAGACCAAGGCAACATCTACACAGGAACAATCATCCTGTTAGCCTGGGATAGTGGAAAAGACATAACCTGAGCTCAAATCTGGATTTGCCACTTAATTGCTGTGTGACTTTAGCAAGTTACTTAGTATCTCTGAGCCCATTTCCCCCATGGAAAAATAGGGATAAGAATGCTATTCTTTCAGGTTTGTGTTATCAGGCTAGACAACCGCCTAATAAACAACCCCCAAAACCTTAGTGGCTTAACAAATGTAACATTACCATCTAATGAAGGTCAGCAGAGGCAGGGAAATACCACACAGGATTATGCAAGAATTGGGTCCAGTGGCCCTACTTCCCCTAGGGATCAGAGTCCTCCACTAGATTTCTGTTTCCACAGCCTACAAAGGAAAAGAGGAAATGAGTATGTGTAGAAGATTGTTCATGATATTTTGGGGGAGAGCAGCCACAAAAGTGCCATCTCTTACTCCTACCCACATTCCATTGGCCAGCACTCAGTCACATGATGCAACCTTATAGCAAGGCATGCTGGGAAATGTAGTTTCAGAAGAAAAAAGGTTTGATGAACTCATAGTATCCTGTCTGCCATATGGTTGCTGTGAAAATGGAAATAATAGAACTAAATCCTGTGGCATTTCTGGAACAGAGTAGGTGCTGAATGCCCTTCTTTCAGGTTTGTGTTATCAGGCTAGACAACTGCCTGATAAACAACCCCCAAAACCTTAGTGGGTTAACAAACGTAACATTACCATCCAATGAAGGTGAGCAGAAGCAGGGAAATACCACACAAGATTATACAGGAATTGGGTCCAGTGACCCTACATCCCCTAGGGATCAGAGTCCTCCACTAGATTTCTGTTTCCACGGCCTACAAAGAAAAAGAGTAAATGAGTGTATGTAGAAGATTGTTCGTGATATTTTTAATCACCATTAATAAGAAAAAATAAGAATTTTTTTTAACTTTTTGCCAACTTTCCCAAGTGCAGACATCAACCGAGATAAATAAGAAGACTAAGGGAGCAGAGACAAAGAGAGAAACAACTATTGTAAACAGGAATGAAAGTGCAGGCCGGGTTTGGGGAAGCAAGGATAAGCACAGAAGCAGGCAGAGAGTGGGCAGAGGGCTCACCGGGAATTGAGCCCCATGGTACTCAGCACAGCCTCTGCTTTCCCGGCCAGCCCTGGCTCCCACCTGAGCCAGAAGGGGCTTAGAAAGATCTGAGTTTCCTTGGAAACCATTTCTCTGGCCCTCTCTGCACGTGATCAGCCAAGTTGGTTGTAATCAAACCCCCACGGGGCAGAGAACGAGCTCTCAAACTGCAGTCCTGGGGTTCTATCCAAATTGCTTGCGTTTCCGATTTAAATTGGTAGTTTCCCCACGAGTGTTCTCCCTGCCCATCCACAGACTTGTTGGGAAGGGGAAGCTCTGGACATGTTACCCACCCCCCGCCATCACCTCCTGCCCCTGACACAGCACAGGGGCCTTGGAAGTGCCTCCAAACAGCCCGGAGTCCTCTGTCAAAGCTGAAGGCCTCTGGCAAGCCCAGGCCTCCAGAACAGCCAGGCCAGGAGTCCCTCCCTGGGCCTCCCTGTCCCACTGAGGACAATGGCCTGGACCTGAGCAGGGGAGGAGGAGGACCTACACAGACCACAGTAGGCAAGTCCTGAATGGTTGACTTCATTGCCAGACTAAATATGGGGGTATGGGCTTCCTCTGGTACCTTTTACAGGTACACCCTTTCCAAAGTGAAGGGTGGGGACTGGGCCAAGGCACCAGATAATCTTCTTTTCTTGTTTTGTTGTTTTTGTTGTTGTTGTTGTTTGTTTGTTTTTGAGACCAAGTGTCACTCTGTCACCCAGGTTGGAGTGCAGTGGTGCAATCTCAACTCACTGCAGCCTCTGTCTCCTGGATTCAAGTGATTCTCCTGCCTCAGCCTCCCAAGTAGCTGGGATTACAGGCACATGCCAGTACACCTGGCTTATTTTTGTATTTTTAGTAGAGACGAAGTCTGACCATGTTGGCTGGGTCTCAAACTCCTGACCTCAAATGATCTGCCCGCCTTGGCCTCCCAAAGTGCAGGGATTATAGGCATGAGCCACCGCACCTGGCCAAATAATCTTGAAGTACTAAAAGCCAAGGCTGCAAGGCTAGGAAAAAGCTGGGGAAGTCTCAGAATGTTAGGCAGAAAGATCCCAGAAGGTTCTGAGGGGCACTTACCTTCACTCCCTCTGTCACAAGCCAGCCCCAACCACAGTGTGACTACAAAAAGGGAGAGTGGACCCCTGTCCCCTTTCCTTTCAGAATGGGCAGAAGACTCATCTCAGACATGGTCAAACACTCCCAGACACACACTTAGCCATATATACACATGTACACATGCATACATACATATTAGAGAGGTTTGTGCGTGTGCATAGACACATACCTGTGTACTTGAAGACATGCAATGTCATGCATACTGATCCCCCTCCTAGCATCCCAGCCATGTTCATGATGTATCTGGGCATATTCACACACAGACATCAGAACTGGGCTGAGAACTTGGTGCACACCTGCACGGGACAGCCTCAAGGAACACATATACATGCTGACACAAGTCCAACTGGCCATCCTGGCATGATCACTGACTGACACATGTACTCAGACACACACATGTAAGACTGACGAAAAGGCAGAACCAGGCTGGGAGATGGACCCTGCTTTGCATGTGGCTAAGTAGGGAGCAGGGTGGATTCCAAATTACTAGACAGCTCCAGGAAGACGTGGCCAAATTGGGTCTAATCCGAGGCTGCATCTGGAGTCCAGTCTGGACATTAATTCAAAGCAGGGTGTGTAGTGTCTTCGTGGGTAGGGTTAGGGCCCTCATGGGGGAAATAGGCTCCCAAACTGCAGAGGAAAACACAGACCAGGAGCAGCCCCTGGAAGAGGCCTTGCTCCCAAAGGGGAAGCTGGATGTCAGGTTCTTATCCCAGTGCAGAAGACTAGGTAAAATCAGGAACCAGCCATTGGCTTGGGAACCTACAGTGAGGGAAGAGAACAGGCTTATGGGCTCTGGGTGTCCAAAGACCCCCAGCTCTCAGATCCTGTATTCAGGGAGACACAACTAGTACCAGGCCCACCCTCTGCCATGCTGGCTCCCCACTCAGAGCCAGGCTAGGTCAGGAAGAGCTCAGGGACTCGGTAGCAGAGCCTAGTGGCAGAGGACTATCAGTATCTATAGCAGAAGGGACTGAGGAAAGACAGGCCAAACACCCCAGCTCCTGAGCCAGGCAGAACCTAGACTCTATTATTCCTGCTGTTGCCAGGAAAACAACCAGAAGACTTGCTCCCCACCTCCAGAACCTGCCTTCGGGCCCCTACCTCCACCCCAGCTGTAAGGGTCTTGGTCAGTCATGTTCTGAGTTTAAGAGTCCCTCATCTCCCCTCCCACTGCAGCGAAGCCGGGAGCTGGGCTGTGCAACTGACAGGAGTGGGGAGCAGGTATTCAGTTCTGATGCCCAGAGTGGCTGTCACCACCATTTCTCCTAATGCCCCAGCACTGAGAAGAATCCTGCAGAGCTTCACAGCCCACCTGCTCCTTTCTAAACAGACAGGTGTGAGAGAACTGAGAACTGCAGTGGAGCAGGCACAGCCAGCTCTCTGCAGCTGCAGCTTTCCACATTTCCTAGCACAGTCAGCTGGGGAAGGAGAGATGGGAAGGGTGAAAGTTCTAATCACTTGGAGTTTCCCTACCACCCAGCAGCTCTCTCTCTCTTTCTCTCTCTCTCTCTCCCCCCCTCCATTCCTCCCTTCGTGTATGCTGCTCTGTATGTCTGGTGTCCTTCTACCTCCTTGTCTCCTGGAAGACACTTATTTAACCTTCAAACCCCTGTTCAGGTGTCCTCTCTGCTTTTCAAATCTTTCCCCAGCACTCCCTCTGTTTGACTAATTATTTACTCCTTTCTCCAGGCTACCTACATTACAGCATGTGTTATGATTATCCGTTCATGTCACGGTAATCAGGGATGCCTGGGATATCTGGATGCCTGTCTTCTCCACTTGACTGTGAGCTCCCTGAAGGTAGGAGCTTGGTGGCACTTGTCTCTGTACCCCAGCACCACTATAGGGTCTGAGAGAACATGTCCAGGAGAAGTAGTATGATATGTCAGTTAAAAGTATGGGCTCTGGACTAAGCCAGACCTGAGTTTGAACCCCAGGTCTGCCTCTTCTGGCTGTGGGAGTTGGATGTGTTGTTTCAGCTCTCTAAGCCTCGGTTGTTCCAAATTATGACATGGGAAGAGTAGTAATGACTGTCTCATGGATTGCCATGAGTAATCAATGATACAATGAATATGGAGAGGTTAGCCCAGTACTGGGCACGTTAATAACCTTTGTCATCATCCCACCAGCACCTGGGCTGTCCATTCTATGCTGAGTCATCATAGTGACTCCATATAGCCCGTTCCCCTAGAAACCTCACTAGCAAATGAATAATGACAATCAAGAATGATGAGTTCCATGACAAAACTCTGGGGGCCCTGGGAGCCTAGAGAAGGAACCACTAATTTCAGTGGACATGTGATCTAGTGGTTAAGTTTATTGGCTTTGGTGTCAGGAAGCTCCAAGTTCAAATCCTAGCTGAGACTCTAATTAGCTGTGTGAACTTAGGTTAAGTTAGTTAAACACTCAGAAACTCTGAAATGTGATGGAAGTTTAATAACACAAAGATATAAATAATACAAATTTGACAAAAAATCAAATTTGCCTGGGGGTGAGCAAGGAAGACTTCCCAGAAAACGTGACGTCAGGCCTTAATGAATGAATAGAAGTTTTCCAGGTGAAGAGGGGAAGCAAGGGCTTTTCCAGCAGGAGCAGCACGTTCAAAGGCTGGTGAATCCAAGGACAATGAGATGTTTAGTGATCCCAGATCCCATGTATGAGGGGGAAGTGTCTGAAGAGGGCCCACAAAGAGAGACAAGGGCCATGCTTAGTGGTTCCTGGCACACACTTCAAACGACCTCTGAGTCACTCTTCTGGAATGTGCCTGGTACATACTTAGAGGCTCAATAAATATTTGTAGGAAAAACAAATACGAGTCAGTGTCTCCTGCACCCTGTTCTCCTTGCTCCACCCACCCACCCAGCCACTCACCTCCCACTGATCCCTGGGACTCTAAGGAGCACAGGCCAAAACCATTGGAATTCACTCCCTCCTAGTTAAGCTCCATGGCCAAGAAAGTTGCACCAAAGCTAAACCCACCAATGGGCCTGATATCAGAAGAACGACTCCTGAACTTTGCAGCTCGCAGAATAAAAATGTATTCCTTCTGATTCCCTATCCAGTCTCCTGATAAGCCCAGCGTGCCACATCTTAATATTCCTCCTGCTAAGGTGCCTGAAGGTCCCTCGGATGTCTGCTTCCAGCCTGCTAGTCTTTGAACTTGAGACATTCTAAACACCCAGTAGTTGACTTCATAATTCGGTGAGACTTGAAAGGCAGCCCAGGCAGCGGTCAGCCAGGTCTTCCATGCAGAAAATCCGGATGGCCTGGATGCTCTCCCTCAGGGCTCCTCTCCAGGGATGGCTGCTGGAATCAAAGAGTTTGGGATCACAGCAAATTCATTTGCAGCCACAACAGAATCCTGTTAGCAGGCTGTCCTGGGGATGGGAGGCAGGGGATGGGAGAAAACTCACCTATGTCTCTATCAGAAGAAGTGTCCTTGGACACTTAATAATCAGCTCTGCTTGGCTTAGCACTATCAGAGCCTGGAATCAAGCTTCTATCACAAGGTCCCACAGCCTCAGTTCAACACTAGAGATAGGCCAACTCTGCTGCCCTCTGGCAGAGAACAAATTCCTGCTGTTCAAGCTTTTGTCAGTCCCTACTGCCCCTGTGCCCTGCCATGACCCTGCTTTGGCTCCTGGAAAGATGGGGGTGCTACAGGAGGTCCCCAATTTCCCTCCTCTCCACAACTGCCCACATCCTCACCTCCATCTCAGAGAGAGGAAAGGTCCCTTCTTTCATCCAAGTCCAAGCCTACAGCTGAGTGCCCACACCCTCAGGCAACCTCAACAATCTGCATGTAAAACCTCTCCCTTGACCTCCAGCAACAAACAGGCTCAAGGTGCCTCCAGGCTAAAGGTGGCCTTTCCAGGATGGACTTAGATCTGGATTCAAGTTCAGGCTCCAACACCTACCAGCTGCATAACCTTGAGCCAGTCATTCCATCTCTGTATTTCAGCCTCTACATCTGTGAAGTGGAAATAACAGCCACCAACTCCGAGGAAGGGTCACGGGAAATGAGATGCTGATGTCTGGCAAGGCTTAGCACCCTGCCTGCCCTTTTATCACTCAAGGAAATTCAGTCATTAGTACAAATATGAGCTCACTGTCCCATAAAGCTAGTGGCCTACTTCTCTTTCCTACACTACCAGGCTTCTTTATTTTTTTAATTTTACTTTAAGTTCTGGGATACATGTGCTGAATGTGCAGGTTTGTTACATAAGTATACATGTGCCATGGTGGTTTGCTGCACCCATCATCAGCCCATCATCTAGATTTTAGGCCCCACATGCATTAGGTATTTGTCCTAATGCTCTCCCTCCCCTTCCCCCCACCCCGCGACAGGCCCCCGTGTGTGATGTTCCCCTCCCTGTGTCCATGTGTTCTCATTGTTCAACTCCCACTTATGAGTGAGAACATGAAGTGTTTGGTTTTCTGTTCCTGTACTAGTTTAATGAGAATGATAATTTCCAGCTTCATCCCTGTCCCTGCAAAGGACATGAACTCATTCTTTTTTATGGCTGCATAGTATTCCGTGGTGTATATGTGCCACATTTTCTTTATCCAGTGTATCATTGATCCAGTGTATCATTGACCAGGCTTCTTATGAAGCACTCACCCCTCCTCAGCCCATTTCAAACTGGACCCTGACCTCATGCCTCTCACCCAGTCACCAGGGAGCCCAATAACCTAATTCCATGGCTTCCCCCCAGCTTCCAATAGAGGCATTCAGTGCTGATGCCCACCTGTTTTTTAACTCAAATTCCCTCCTCAGGCCTTCACAGCTCACTCTCCTGGTTCTTCTCTCTTCATGAACATGCCCTCTCCACATCCTTTTCAGTCCTAGATCAGTGGTTACACACTGGAATCACCTAGGGAGCTTCAAACTACCAATGTGCAGCCACGCCCTCCAGCAAGTCTCAATGTGTTGGTCTTTGGGAGGCCCAGGCACTCTAAAGTGCAGCTGGGTTTGAGAACTGCAGCCCTGAATGGAGAAGATGCCCTTGGCCTCTGTGTTACTTAAGATTATGTTCTGCCATACAGAAAAAAAAAAGGTAAACGTGGTTTACATAAGACAGATGTTCATGTGTCTTGCAGGTATGGAATCTGAAGGTCCAGATTAGTTTGGCATCTCCACAGTCATCAGGAACCCAGGTTTCTACTGCCTCATGGCACAAAACGACTGCTGGAGCCTCACAGCCTCATTCCAGGCTGCAGGAAGGAAAAGGGAGCACAGAGGGGCAAAGGTAGGTAAGAACCACCCTCCCACACTTCCCACTACTCACAACTTAACACATACCCACACCCAGCTCTGTGGGTGGTTGAGAAGCAGAATCTTCATTCCAAATGGCTGTGTCTAGCTAAAACGCAGGTATTCTGAACACTGAGGAAGAAGAAGAGAGCAGTTTCTGCCATGTGGGAATTCTAGGACCTCAATCACTCCACCTGAGTATTGCTCCCCCCACCCACTCCACAGGCTTCTTAAATGCATTGTGTCCCAAACTGCACCCATCTGACCAGGTCCCATGAGGCAGCAAGGATTTTGAGATTACAGATCTAGTCCTGGCTTTAACACTCAAGCAACCATGGGTACTTGATGCCTTGATGAACTTCAGTTTCCTTATCTGTGAAATAAGATAAGAAATGTATTTTATTCTTGGGAAGATGAATGATTGGCTTACATATAAACATCTAGTAGAGTGCCTTGTGTATAGTAGGAGCTCAATGCATGTTGGTTTCCTTCTCTTCCTTTTTTCTTTCCTAGTCTAGAGAAACCATTTCCTTTCTCTATGCTGTGCTGCCCCCTCTCCCAAACTGATTATATATTGCCATCAGGCCTCGCAGACAAGGCTCCCAGATGTGGCACTAACCATATATTTCTTTGTTAAGGACATATGTAAAATGCAGGGTGGGAGAGTGAGAGAAGAAGAGGGAGAAATTACCTTTACGAAAAAGGAGCTAACCAACCCGGACAGTACGGGAATCTTTCCCCGACGTGCTCTGCACCTCCCCTTTCAGGGGAAATCTCTTTTTTCCTCCCTCACTCTTGTGTGGTTTTTTTATTATGACTTGTAGCTATAGGTTGGAGGACAGATGCAGTGTTGGTCAAAATCAAAAGTGCAGTCAATTGTACAATTCTTCAGTTTTGAACTGACCCAATTCCCCAGTCATAGACTGACCCTAGGCCCTGGTCACACATCAATCCAGACACCCCAGTCACAGGAAGATGGAACCTTCCTACAGCTTTGCTACCCAAAGTGCAGGGCCCAGCAGCGTCTGAATCACCTGGAAGCTTGTTAGACATACAGAATCCCAGGCCCCACCTGAGACATTGATACAAATGGAGGATTTTTTTTCCTGGCATCTTTCCTTTCCTTTCTCTTGCCTTCCCCAGGAACTGAGCATTTATTATACAAGGTGACCCCTGGTGTCCTCAGCAGCACTCCAAGATCCTATCCTCTCCTTACTCCAGCCATGACTTACTCCATCACTAAGCCAGTTTCCCGCAATGGTCCTGCCTGGCAATAGGCACAGTTGTGGAATCTTTTAATGCTATATCCTTACTTGAGTGATATGGTGCAAGTGTACTGAGCATATTGGAAAGAAAGTGTGTAAAACACCTAGAAGAGGACCTAAAACATAGAAGACAGCCAATAAGTGGCAGCTGTTATTACCAGCTGTGTGACCTCGGCCATCACTACACATAGCAGAGCCTCAGCTTCATCACCAGCTCCCAACACCTACTATGACACAGAGCTGGTCTCATATTGTGACTTCAATCTGATTCTCAGTTCAGTGGAAGGAGAAATCATCAAACAGGATTGGCCAGTAAAAAGAGGAGATTACAGGCAGGGAGATGAGCCCAGATCTAAGGACAAGTAAATCCAGAATATATGTGAGCAGTTAGGAGGAGACCAGGTTGGCAGCATCAGGAGACACGCAGGAGAGAAATGGATGAGGCAGACAGAAGGATGCTGGAGGCCAATGGTGGGCCTTGAAGGCCGAACTAAGAAGTTTAGATTTTATCCTGAAAGTGAAAGGGAACCCCGATGGGCGTTTTGGATGTGAAGTCAAAGGACGGCATAAAGCACAGAAAGAGGATGACACTAGGGCACTGGAGTGGTGATAGAATGAACATGACCAATTGGATGAGAGAAGGAGGAAGAGGGAGAATCAATTTGAAATGACTATGGCAACATCAGTGACAGACAAGGCAGCCCAGAGATGGAACTGTCTGCAGGTGGAAAGTTAACATTTTTGTATTAGAACCCCATTCCTTCATCCAATCAGTATGTCTTGAGTATCTGTGCTAAGCACTGCATGGGGCTCTGGGTATATTATGGTGTGCCAAACAGACATAGTTCTTGTCCCGATGGGAGTTCTGCCTTGGTGAGAGGAAGATGCCAAGAGACATCCAGGAGACAATTCAGAGAATAGTTAGGGCTGGATACGGCTTAGGAGCCTTCTCCCAACTGCCCCAGACACATTTCAGAAAGTGTTAAGAGCTAGAAAAATTATGAGAAGATTTCTTCAAGGCCCAGACTTCAACTCTGCATTTCCCACAATATCCAGCCAAGGCCAATGTCCCTTTGCAGGGCTTTGCTCCAAGATGACCGTGGGAGGGGCAGCTCCCTTGGAGATGGATACCTGGCCCAGTGTTCAGGGGCTCTGGCTTCTTGATTACCTGCTGGAGGGGAGTCTTGTGATTGCAGTCATCTGATTAGGGATTCATGCACTCATCAGAGCTGAGTAGAGACACAGGCCAAAGAATCTGGGCCAGGCGGAGTAGTTCTTAGCTGTCTGGTGATACAGGTGAGGTGTTTCTTCGGCACTGCCCCATGGATTCCCAGGCCTTCACACCCATGCATCCCTCTTTCCACTGCACTTTCTGTTCCCCTAAATGCCTCTGGGGCTCACACTGTGCCAACTGACCCCAACTTTCTTCACCCTCCTGAACTCAGACTTTTATCTCCTCTCTACACTCCCTCTAGCCTCTGCCTTCCAGCTGCCCAGACTCACTGCACACATACACACACTCCTGGCCCCTGTAAGCCCAATTAAGCCAACAAATCCACAGTTAATTTAATACTGAGCACTCAGCAGAAGGATACATCACTGGTGGTAGATTGCGTGAGTGATACTGTAGAATTACATCTTTGTGTGCTTCAGTTGTGTGGGTACACTTTATAATTCACTGTGGTCAATGGGTAATAGATATAAAATTCAGAGACTAATATAACTAGTATAAATGATGCAGAAGTTTCAGGCTGTAGCTCTCGTTTTCTGAGATAGCGTTGTTAGAACTGCAGTCTCCTGGTACTCATTCCCTGGGCAGGAAGCAATCCTCAGGTAAGAGCGCCCCAGCATAGAAAGATGATCTCCTCCACTACCATCTGCTCTGTGATGCGGTTTCCAGGAATACACTGTGTGGGGTGGTGGGGGGACTCCCTTTCCTCCAAACCCTACTCTCTGGTGATTTTGTCAGCCTGGACCAAAAGCCTTAAAAATATGCATTTTCTTTGACTCTGTAATTCTACTTTCGGAAACAAGTTCTAAGGAAAACGTATGTGCAAGGATGTTTGTGAAGCACCATTTAAAATAGCTACATATAAAAATGGAAAGAACCGAGATGTAATATACACACAGTGCGATTCTATGCAGATTATTTACCCAGTGTCTCTCAGCTCACATCTACCCTTTTGTATTCTGCTCTTGCTGAGGCCAGGACTCCAAACCCAACGCTTCCCAGACTCCAGAACCACCTGGCTTCCTGTTAGGTTCCCGCAATGAAAGGCACTCGAGGAAGATTGGAAGGCAAGATGAGGAGAGAAGGGACTTGGTTCCTGTTTCTTCCTTTCCTGCCAGCATCACTCCAGCAGCAGCAGTTGGCTCCAGCCCCTACTTTCTTTCCGTACTCCCAAACCCAGCCTCACCGCAATCCTTCCATATACCAATAGCAGCCACATACCATTCCCTGGTCTCAGCACCAGTTCTGCAGGACTGCAGAACCCATACTCTGAGTTCCTAGGTCCTGATTCCCAAACTTCTTTTGTTCCTGTAGCCCTAGGGTTGGTACCTGCTTCCTGCAGTTATTATCTCTGAGTTACCCCTGTGTTCCCTTTTTGCCCTATCAGCTCTCCAACATCTGTGTAGCCAATTTCCTGTATTAAATTCATTCTCTTTGAAATACCTTGTGTGGTGTCTGGTTTTCTGAGTTCTGGCTAATATAGATGTCATTTCACCCCAATTGGGTAGAAAAAAATTTATAAATGTAACAATATCAAAGGTTGGTTGAGACTCAAAGAAATTGGAAATTTTCCACATTTCTGATGGGATTGTAAATTTATAACCATTTTAGAAAACAATCGGGCAGGCAATAACTGGTAAAGTCAAATTGCATACCGTGAAATTCTGGTCCTGTGTATGAACTCTAAAGAAACACTTACAGATTACTCAAACAGAGAGCATCATTCCTTATTTTTCCCAACAGAAGGAAATTGATGATTCAACTGCGGTACACTCATATAAGGAAATACTACTACATGGTGGTTAAAAATGAATAACTGATAGTTACCTACAGCAACATGGATAAAACCTAGAAGCATAATTTTGAGTAAAGAAAGTATCCTGCAAAAGGATGTGTATAGTACGGTGTCATTTACATATACATTTTTAAACCTACAAAGCAATACTATATATTGTTAATGAATATACTTGAATATAGTAAAAGTGCACATCATACATGGCAAGTTAAATTATTTAGAAGCACTAGCTGTAGATGATGGTGACTCAGGAGACAGGAAAGAAAATGGAATCAGATAAGGAGGAATCAAAGGAGGACTTTTTTTCTTTCTTTCTTTCTTTCTTTCTTTCTTTTTTTTTTTTTTCTGAGACAGAGTCTTGCTCTGTCGCCCAGGCTGGAGTACAGTGGCATGATCTCAGCTCACTACAACCTCCACCTCCTGGGTTCAAGCGATTCTCCTGTCTCCTGAGTAGCTAGGATTACAGGAGCATGCCACTACACCCAGCTAATTTTTGTATTTTCAGTAGAGACAGGGTTTTGCCATGTTGGCCAGGCTGACCTTGAACTCCTGACCTCGTGATCCGCCTGCCTCGGCCTCCCAAAGTGCTGGGATTACAGGCGTGAGCCACCGCACCCAGCCTGGCTTTATTTCTTCAGCTTGGTGGTAGGTACTATTAAATTGAGGGTCTGGAAGGCAAGGGCTTAGCGAAAGGAAGAAAGGAATAAGAATCTACATTTAGGAGAATGGAAGAAGTGGGAGCCAGTTAGCATATCACGCCTAGACATCTAATAAAATTATTATGTAAAAATATGATTTATCGACACGAAGAGTTGTTAAGAACACATTAAGTAAAAATTAAGGATACAACATAGTATGTATTTCATTACCCCTTTTTTATATAATACAGTGTGGGGGGGGGGAATGGCTGAAAAAGAATATACCAAAATGGCAAGAGTATTTACCTCTGGGTAAGAGGGTTATAGGGGATTTTTATTTACTTCTTTATAGTTAACTGTATTTTCTATTGCTTCTAAAACAAATATGAACTTCTTATATAATGAATTCTTAAAGGAATTTTTTAAATGTACTTTGAGAATTTCTTCCCTTACCTGTGGCTGTTATCTCAACATCCCACTGAAGGGTTTCCTAAAGTGTCATACGTAAGATGATTTTAGGTGGTTTAATGCACATTAAACATTTTTTATTTTCACATGTATATCTACTTTAATGTATTTTACAAAAACGATACTCAATTTTTTTAGATGGAATTCCTGAAGTACAGGGGAAAGGGATTGTCTTCTCAATAAATGGTGCTGGGTCTGTGGGATAGCTGTATGGAAAAAATGGAATTCAGACCCCTACCTTAACATACACAAAAGTCTGTTCCAAGTATCCTACATTTTAAAGATAGAACAAGAAAGCTTCTAGATGATAAACATAAGAGGGCCTTATGCCTTTGGGGTTAGAGTTACTTAAACGGAACAAAAAATTATTAATCATATAGAAAAAGATGGATAAACCAGACTATTTCAAAATTCAGAACTTCTTTTTTTCAAAGGACACCACTGAGAGAGTAAAATAAAAACCACAGAATAGAATATTATGGCAATATTTGTAATCAACATTAGACACACAACTAGAATGTATGAAGAAGCCCTACACACCAGTTGTAAAAAGGCAGATAAAATGCAAATGAAAAATTACCCAAAGACATAGGCACTCCAAAAAAGAAGATGCCCAAACATCTAATAAACTGGTAACCCTGCAGGATGTTTGCGGAGACCTGGGAACACTTTCTTTTCTTAATCTGAGAGTTGATTAGATGGATACATTCACTCTTCAAGTTTCCAATTTTCAACTCACAGAGCTGTACACTTAAGATGTGTGTACTTTTCTGTATATACATTATACCACAATTATACTTCAATAAGACTATCGTTTTTAATTTAGATAAGAAAAAGCAAATAACATTTTGGCCCTTTTACGGATCAACAGAATATAGAAAAACAACAATGTACTATGTAACTTGCAAAAAGGAACAATAGAAAGATAAACCAAAAACAAATAAAAACAATTGTCTCTGGGAGGATGGGCAAGAACAGGGGAAAGGGACTAGGAATAAAAATTAGACTTAGCTGCATGTGTGTTTTTAAATAATCCTGATTCACAATCATGTAAACAATCAATATAATTTCAAAACGAGTCCATTTTTAAGAAATACTAATTTTAAATTAAGTTAATTGAGATGGTATATAGACAGAGCAAAAATTGTGACGAAATTAACCTGAGTGACTAAAGTCATGCCATGTGAACATAAGGTTTCCATATGATGGGACATTAACGAGACAGGCCACTGTCCAAGTCACCAGGGCAGGCATTGCTAATCTATCAGAGCTCTTCCCCACTGAGCCCAGATTCCACTTCAGAATCCAGCTCAGCACACACTCCACACAGCAGTGGCACAGAAGTTAAAACACGCTTGCCATTCTTACTCTGCGATAGCAGGGCTCCAAGAAACAGGATGAAGCAGTCACAAACCTACCCAGGTCTCCTAACCCCTCATTCTACTAATGGGAAAACTGAGGCCAAGAGAGGAGGAGCGGCTTACTCAAGGACACAGCCAGAGTTTAATTTTCCCTCTGCCACACCACCACCCAGGCCTTGGCATTCCAGCCTAAAGAATGGAGTTCTTTGCTCTTCCATCAACCATACACGCCCAGGCAGGGGAGGTACAGAAGCAGTCAGCTGCTAACAGCTCTTCCAGAATTCCCAGGCAGGAACATTACAGTTTGCCTTTGCACTGAGCCTGTTCCTGAATCCAGGGTTCTTCCCTTGCCTTAACAACCAAGCCACCATCCTGCCTCAACCAGCATCATGGAGATGTCTTACTCAATCACAAGGATGATCCTGCCACCTTCCTGCTCAGAAGTTGGCTTTGCCTCCCTATTTCTTCACTCCCTAACTGGACATTCTAAATATTTGTGATCTGACTGTAAACTGCCTCTTTCTCTGATTATCAGCTTGCCGCCTCCTGTGGGCTCCAGCTCAACCCCACTTCCAGATCTTTGTCCATGCTGTTCCAACCACCTTATACTTTCACTGAGTCCCAGAAGGTGAAACTAGGACACCTGAAAGTCATTCTTTCATGCTCTGGGATGAAGCCAACCCCGTGGGTATGGTCAAGAGGCTTCAGTTGGAAGGAAAAGGGGCTCTTGAGGCTGGAGCCAGGTCAAACAGCAGAAACTTTCTCTTGAGCGTTCTCAACCTTCTTTAGACATAGGACTCTTTGAGAATCTGATTAAAACTGTGGACCCCATTCCTAGTTAAATACACCCAAACACAACATTTTCTATTTAATATCAAAGCACTGGGGAGAACCCTTAAGAATCCTTGCCCCATGAGGCTACAATGTCAAACACTATTTCCTTGTATTCATTACGTGTCAGGACTATGGTAAGGACCACACACATTATCTCATCTAACCCCTCAATACCATCATGAAGTAGGAAACATGGTTGCCTGCACTCTATAGATGAGGAACGAAGGCACAGAGAGATGGTAGCCATGGAACCAGAATTCAGATCCAAGTCTTTCTGGCTCCTCAGCTTTTGCTCTCACATGATGCACCAAAGTTTTCGGTTGGTTACCCAGTGTCAGAATTTCCTAGGGTGCTCATTTTAAAAATGCAGATTTCTCAGCCCCACACTAAGTCCAGTGAGTCAGAACCTCTGGAGGTGGAGCCCAGGAATCTGCATCATTCGCGAGAGCTCCAGTTGACTCTCAGGTACCCTAAGGTTGAAAACTGCTGCACTTCACTGGACTGTCTTCCCCAGTAAGCAGTAGCTACACATTCCAGATATTATGGTTGTGTAACAGATGACCCCCAAAATGTAGAATGACCACAGTTTTATTTTACTCCCAAATTTGTGGTTCTGGAATTCAAGCAGGGCATCCCTTCCACCAGACTCCATTAGTCAAAGCAGTCACAAGCCAGCCTAGATTCAAGAAGAAGGGAATTAGACTCCACCTCTTGATGGGGCATGACAAGGTTCCCATTGTACACAAACATATGGCATGGACGCTATTGTTGTGACCATCTTTCAAAAGGGTAATCTGCCACTCCAAGCCTCTATTCACATGCAAAATCCGGTAAAATCAACCGGGCTGCTTCGATCTGCAGCCTGGAGAGAACAATGCTTAACATTCATCAAAGTCACTTTTCAACAGGCTTCCTCATGCTTCACAGTTCACCCTTTCTGATTCAGGAAGAACTGCAGTGGTACAGCAGGCCCCTCAACGGCCACATCAGAAAGTGCCTTCAGTGGCAACACTTTCCTGGCAGCTCAAGATCTCATGGACCAATTTAAAAAAAAAAAAAAAAAATGTGTTCATCCAGCTTCCTTCTGCATCCAGGTGGCCTTACCTCAGGGCACAAGGGGGACATAATGGGAGACCCAGAATCAAAATGAAAAAGGTTTAACAAGAAGACATCAAAGAGAGAGGACAGAAAGAGTGTAAACTAGGAACTGGGACAACCTTTCCAAAGGGTAGCTTGGCCACATATATCAAGATGTAAAATGTGCATACCCAGCGTTCCCACTTCTAGAATTCAGCCTAAGGAGATAACAGCTCAAACGCAAAAGAAGACATATGCATAGCATACACACACAGTATTGTTTGCAATAGAGAAGAATTGAAAACAACCTTCACTCCCACAAGTCAGTGATAGATCAGGCAAATAAATTGTAGCTCATTAATACTAATTTTCAAAGAATGAAGTAGATCTATAGGGACTGATATGGAAAAATCTCTAAGACAGACGGTTAAATAGAAAAAAAGGTATGTGAACAATACCTATCATAAATCACATTTATATAAAACTATGTGTGTTTTAGCCCCAAGAGAGATGTCTGGATGAAGGTCCCCTGGGTGATAGCATTTGGTGTCGATTTTGCTTTCTTCCGCATTGAAAGTGTTCAAGAATAATAATGAAGGTGCATCTATTATACCTACTCTGTGTTGCAGACTCCAGTAAATCCCTTACATATGTTAACTCATCTTATCCTAATAACAACGCTACAATGTGGAT